AGATTGATGGCATTAAACAAGTGATTTATCTAGTACTATTTTGATTTGATTTCATGGTTAAAACCTAATCTTATGACTATGATCAACCTTCTTATACAGCTGTGTGTACACACTCACACACACACACACACACACACACACACACACACGCATACATAATGGTACTGGGACTTTGAGTGTCTGATGCAGTATTAGTAGTTGTAAGTTGGCAAACAGGTCTGCTAGTGAGAATTTCAGTTCTCTGGTTCAGTGTGAATCAGTCGACAGGGTCTATTTACCCTTTATATTTGTCATATGAGACTTTCACAATACACCACCAAAGGTTAGATCATGGAATGTGGTAATTTCATCAAGAATGCCATATAAACCCTATAAAACTTTAACTTTCTTTCACATAAACCCATATACTCAGATCACTATATCTTATCTGTACAATTTCTATAAATTACTTGGGGCTCAGTACCTGTTTGTCAAGTTTTGTTTTATTTTGCTCTTAGGTACTTACAAGTAACATAATCATTTACTTAATTAAAGGTATTTCGTGCCAACAGATTTCAAGAACATAACTTTAGAATAAAGGTAAGCTCTTTAAAACAGCAGAGACATGAAAATTTGGGTGTAAACTGGTATTTATTTTGAATTGTCACTTGGGAGTAATTGCCCTTAAGAAAACAACTCTCAAACAAATATGTACTGATTCACTATTAAATGTTTGCTGCTTTATATGGTATCATCTTTCTCTCTTATCTCTTATTTTTATAGATAGATGATACATACATACATACATATATACATACATATTCAATCATAGTCCAGAAGAGATAAATAGTTTCTATGCATTGTTCCTAGATGAGGAGCAAAATGGCTGAGGTCAAAAGCAAAAAATTCTTAACCTTACCAATTTGTCCAGACATAAGAAAATGAGATAATCTCTAGGAATTTCTACTGCTCCCAACTTTCTTTTTTATGTCAGCTTTTTTATCCTTTAATGTTTCATACAGTTTGAAATGTGAGCATGTATTCTGCATACTTTATAAAATTGGTTAATTAACATTTTAAAAAAATGTGTTGGGATCCCATTTTAAAAGCATCTTTATTATCAGTATAAAGTGTTTGTGATTAATTTGCTAAAGATACTTTGTGTTTTTTTTCTTTTTAATAAGTGGTGACCAGCTGGAATGCATTTTAGTATGATTAATCTGGTAGCTGCAGGACAGTAAAACAGCATTTACTAGAATCAGGAGGTGAGGAGTGTAGGCGAGGGAAAACAATTTTCCCTCTACCCTTCTAAATTCTCCCCTGGGAACCCTGAAACAAAACACAGACTAACAAGAAAAACTGTTAAAAAATGAAATTCAACCCAGTAAAATTGAAGTTCTAATGGGCTTTACTAAATGATTCATAAATGGAGCAGCATTCCATCTAGCAAACGGAAGGAGGCTGGGGCAAGGGAGCTATTAGAGGAAGAAAAGGATTACTTGGGGGCGGGGACATCTTTTCCTTGATTCCCAACTTTGTAAACATTTTAATTTACTAGACAAATGT